ACAGCTGCGCAAATGGCGTCAGGCAGGGACTTGAAAACGAAAGAAAGGTACTCACGTCGATATCAACATGTCACGTACGTGAAAAGGCAAAGGCAAGTCGCTGTATTCTGCGAGGTTAAAGTCAAACGTTAATCTCTGAGACCATTGGGAGATTTGGACAAGTCCCAAGTAGACTGGGGACGCATTTGTATGCGGTGGGTCACGTGTCTCTTGCGTGTAGCGCAGAAGTGTCAAGGATACGTGATTGAGTGAATCTTGTGATGGCTCAATTCTGGAATGCAGCAGACAGCTACTAGCGAAAATGGCGTAGGTAGGGATACAAATCTTGTTTGAAAACCGATGATAACTCATATGAACTGTTGTCACGTACGAGAAAAGGGGAAGTCTCCACAGGCTGCGAAGCTCATCAGTGATTGAGGATATGATGAGGAGCGTCGATCCAATGAGCGGGGAGAGGGAATGAAGGAACTGAGATACTAAGAATAAATGACGATGCAGCGACCAGAGCGCTCACCGGCGCTTACTTAAGTACTAGACCCGGTATAATTTCAAATGACCGATATAGCAAGGGCTGAACCGGCTCACAAAGGACGTCTTAGTGGAGTTGAAGACGGAACTACTACGATCAACTGTCAAGTTAAGCCTGTGCTGTAATTTCAGCTGATAGTGGACCTGTGCAAGGTACGATAATGAGCATTGATAGTCTTGGCCTAGTAGGTAACTTTGCAGGGAGAGTATGGATTGAATTATATGGTTTATTCAGGGTGGTATGTCGAGGATAGAGCTAGGATGAGGATGGATAAGATATATTCTTGTTTCTAGGAGAGTCTAGGTTAATTGGTTGTTAATGTCTCAGACAGAAGCGACGGAATCGGCTAGCCAAGTTTAGCCGTGAGTGCCTTGACTTTAATACGCAGCCGCAAAGCAGCGCCTCCATCAACTAGAAAAAATAATCGAGCGAGGAACGTCAAACGAGTTCATTGACCACCATCCGAATCTTCGAATCTAACGAAAGGCAACAGGACATGGCTTTGGAGGCACCTCAACCACAGAATTCAAGTCTAGTTCTAAATAATGATTCACCAACCGTACCACAACGGTCCACAGTGACCATTTTGGGATCCTTTCTACGTGGACGCCCAAGAGGAACTTCTACTTCACACCAATTAGATTTATCCCCCAATCGACGTACAAGCTTCGCACCACAAAACATACTCAGAAGAAGAGACACAAACAACGACCTACCTTCACTATCACCAACACCAACATCAACTTCACCCATGCCAGCACCACCCCTTCTCCGAGCAACAACCATCTCAAACCCAAACCCTGCAACCCACAGAATAAGACTAGTTCCCCACCTCGACAGTCGCCGCACACTCCGTTTCGAACCCATCAGCCGTGATATCAAAGACAATGACAGTCCCCTACGCATAGGTCGCTTCACAGATCGCTCAGGAATAGGTCTAGCAGCAGTAAACGCCCTAAACACCAACAAACTCGCTTTCAAATCTAAAGTCGTCTCAAGAGCACATGCAGAGATCTGGAGCGACAGCGGAAAATTCTATATCAAAGACACAAAATCTTCATCTGGGACTTTCCTCAATCATCTCAGGTTGAGTCCTGCCGGATCAGAGAGTAAACCCCATCAACTCAAAGATGGCGATATCGTTCAACTGGGCGTGGATTATCAGGGCGGCACCGAGGATATTTACAAGAGTGTGAAGATTAGAGTCGAGGTGGGCAGAGAGTGGCAAGCTGCTCCTAATGCTTTCAAGTACGTCTTCTCTTCATCTCTATCTTGTTGATATTGACCTTGATCGCAATAGCACAAACGCCCTCTCACAACTCCGCTCCCTCTCCGCAGACCCACTCAACCAACCACAGCCACAAAGCACAATCGCACATGGCAAGAAACGCATGCCAAAGACCAACATCCCCGATTGTTGTATCTGTAAGCCTCCCTACTCCCCAGTTATACCCACGCTAACGATAAACAGGCCTCTTCGCAGTAACAATCCGCCAAGCCCTCTTCATAGCCCCTTGCTCTCACGCCTTTCACTACAAATGCATCCGCCCCCTCCTCGAAGCCCACACAAGCGCATTCAGCTGTCCCCTCTGTCGCACATTCGCAGATCTAGACGAAGACGTCGAAGTTGAAATCGAACCCTCTCCTTCTCCCTCCCCTTCATCATCACCAGAAGACGACGATGTCGAAGATGACGCTGCGTTGGCGCTGGGGAAATCGTTATCGCTAGCGCCTCCGATGGTACGAGACGGAGCTGAGACGGAGGTAGAGGGCGATGCGAGTTCGAGACCGCGTGTGAGAATACGGACCGCTGGGCACGTTTTACACCCGCATCCTCATCCGCATCTACCGGTGTCTGTATTGGAGGGCGAGGACGATCTTGACGAGGAGATGATGGATATGCTAGACGATGCGGATTCGGATGCGGGAGAGGGGGATGAAAGGAGCGGGAGCGGCAGTGGCAGTGGCAGTGCTGAAGGTATGGGCTTGAGCTTAGGCTTAGGAATGGGGGCGATGGTGGTTGATGGGGAAATGGTGAATGGGAAGCGGAAACGGTGACCGTTCCGTTCGCCTCATGCCTTCATCCTTTTACTCTCCACTGTATCCTCTCATCGTTCTGTTCCATAATGACCCCCAGGAAGGACCAATATTGTTCATGATATCATGGGATTCGTTTTGTATATTTGGCGCGCATGGGTTATCGCACTTTTTACATATGAGCGGTTCTATACATACATCTTTCTTTCCTTCCTTCCTTCCTTCTTTCCTTTCCTCGTTGTTTTTCTTTTTCTCCTTCAGTTCCACTCATCTTATTATACTCGCATGTCTCGATATCGAAGATTCTCTTTTCAATGTCACACTAATGAAACCATCGCGTTGTTGCAACACTGTCTTTCTTTTTCTCCTCTCTCCTCTATACTCTTTCCTCACCGCCTAGCTTCAAGTCTGATGCATACTATGAGTGGTTACCGGTGAACATCGAGTGTGATACCTAATCGAACACGATACGGTATACCCCCACTAGCCGCGATGCAAGGCGGGCGGTCACGAGTCTGATGTTCCACGTTACCAGCCGCCTTGCACGACGATGACAAATGACTCGTCGAGGATCCGCTGTGGGTGGGAGGAGTTGGGGTGGGGTATTGCAATGTAATCCATCATTCGTCATGCAAGGCAAGACAAGACAAGGCGGCGTAACGATCCCAAGATCCGTCCCGTTTCTGTAAAGTGACCTCCTATCTCACCGGTGGAAAAATACCGAAAAGCGACCGGGAGGAAGAGGATAACCAGAAAGAGGGCGCGGTCCAACCGTTAGTGTAGACAATATTGGTATGGCTAGGGTGGTGGTACGGATCGTTATCGTGCGGAGAAGCATGAAACCAGTGCGTATAGTACTAATACTTATTTATGACTGCGAGAGAAGCATGAGTCAAGAGTAAAAGCGACATTTTTTATAGATCACTTGTGATGCGCATTTGCATCGAATCACTGATGACGGTTCTGGGAGTTGATGAAGGATCTCGTCGAGAGAAGCAGAGGGGGAAACTGTCCATATGACATCGACGCGAGTAGCGTATAGTATATTGATGTGGCTGGGGAGGTACGGTTTGTTGTCGGCGGGATAAGCAAGTAGATCAGTACGCACCATCCATGCCCGTCAATATTTATGTAAGTTGGTCACATCTCATCGATACTAACCGGAGAAACCTTGCAAACATACGACCCTATCATCAGAGAACTGATGAGTCCTTGACATGGTAGCCGTGGGAACTATAGGAGGATATAATTCTGTTCCTGCTAGATATGACTATGTATACTGCGAGAAATGTGAGTTATCGGCACATAGCCATGGATGTCTAAGAATCTAAATTACCATGAGGAGTTCGCGACAAGGTTGCGACATTGCACCATCGCGGCCGGCAGTGTATAATAGCGTAATCACCTCACACTTGTCAAATAATATCATATTCCCTTATTTATGTGTTGAACTGCAAGAGTATTCAAGACTTTATCGTGGAAAGCGCGATTAGCGCTTGTCATCTAATCTAGATTTATATGAGGGTTCTCGATAAGGTCACGACTCTGCACCATCACGACCGGCAACATATGATAGTGTTATTAGCTCCCACTCGTTTAAAAACCTCATATTCCCTCATTTATATTGGGTTTACAAAGCTATATAGTAGGGTTCAGATATTGCTTCAATTACAATGTGACAACGTAAGTAAGATTACGTTCATTCTTACTTTCAGGAGCGACCTGGCGTAGGTTCAGTATTCTATCAATACTTGTCATGGACATCACGCTGCCAGGAGAAATCAAGCCGTGTACATGAAGGTCTGGAGAGAGCACCGTGAACTTGAAACAAACAAATCATCGAAGAGGTAATCATCTACTATTGTAAGAACAGGGTGTTTGATCCCACAGAACCAATTCGCGTAGCCGTCATGTGCGTATCAAATACATATTCTATATATCCACACTACTGGCTTCTCCGAATACGATGAGGAGTCAGACTGTGCGTCGATGTTCGGGATGGGTCCCATGAACCAATGTTTCGTGGAGAATATCCAAGATCCTGCAGCAAATATGAAGACAGCCATGACAATCACTACTGAGTAATCTGCATGTTGCGATGAGTCAAGGGCTAACTATATATGATAGCACTCACTCATGGTTTGCACACTGGCTATCTGTGTGTATGGAAAGAGCAGCATGACAACCATGAATGCCACCCAGACAACACCTGTCCAGCCGATCGGAAAAGACCACCAACCAAGATTGAATGGACCAGGTTGTAGTTTGTCCTTCCCCCAGGTAATACGACAATATATGAACATCGCATATGAGATGTATAAACCTATGACAGACGCCCTTCAGAGCAACAGAGTTAGTATTAGTGACTTGAGAAGCTCACTAGATGTATGAGGCCAAGGAGTTGAATGCTGCTGTGGAAAACACTAGTGTCCCGCAAATGGCAGAGAGCACCATCACAAACTATACAGCATTCACTGGAGTTTGCATTGTGTAGTTGATGTGCTTCCACCACCATGAGCCGGGAAGAGCGTTGTCCCGAGAAAATGCGAAAATGATGCGTGAAGCATCAACAGCTTGTGAGCATCTGCAAAGGTACTGTCAGGAAATCAGATATTTAAACTTCATCATTTTTAGTAAACGCACTTTCCTGCAACACTGTGATGGAGGACCAGAGGGTCAAAGCACCTTTCTTCCCCAGGACATTCAAAAATACTTGGCCAAGAGGGAGCGCTAATTTTGTCTGCAGGATCTGGAACCAAGGTGGTAGCATAAGAAGCGGCGATGTAATAAAGCCAGCCCAGTATCTCAGTTCCGGCAACCCCGACCAAAATCGCAATTGGTGCTGCGCATGCAGCTCCTGCGGTTTCCTCAGTGATATGTGCAGCAGAGTCATCTAGAGAAACAGGGTTAGGTATGGGTGTACCAAATTATATGTCCGCTCTGCCGCGCTACTCACAACCTGTCAATGACCACATCAGGTGATGTAAAAGTGAGAATGAAAGCCCAGACATCTGAACATAGTCAGGCACTGAAACGAAAAAGACTGCTCACCAAAGAACTACAAGTGTAGTCGACAATGGTGATGTCCGTGAGATGCTTCAGCAGCTCATTAAGAGACAGCGAGCACAACAACGGGAACGATGTGGGCATTTGTATTTGTTTATTTGGCTTTGTTGGTGTCTAAATTAATTCTGTACTTGTCATTTTTCAAACTATTGCCATACTTGTCTGCCTCGTCTGAATCTTCATTATTTGAAGTACCGTAACAGTACCTCTCATCCCTGACTCTTGCGGTGTGATGGCACGCACCAAGCAAACTTCTTCAAAAGCAACTGGTGGGGTTGCCCCCCGTGTCCGAATCAAGAGAGATCAGCAGACCCTCGCAAGCTTGAAGGTTGCAGTACCTGCCACATCTTCTGCAAGAAACTTTATGCTCTCACGTGGAAGCCCATTCAGGACCACTCAAAAATGAGGTGAGTGATACTTAACAAGCTCACTAGCAATAATCCACTGAAATTGCTCCACAGTTCTGCATGCTCTGCCAGGATGGCATGCGTGAAGGTGAAGATTGTCTCTACTGAATGCGACGAGCATGACTGCCCGCGTGCCATGTGCACCCAGTGCATTTCAATTCCGGCTGGCGACGTGCAGTACCTACAGGAGCCGGATGTCAAATTTCGCTGTGTCCACTGCCATACGGCCTTGGACAAGAAGTTGAAAGAGGTCACGCCATACTATGTGAGTTCATTCATTCCTATTTCCGCCTTTCACTGATTAATATATGTCTAGGGATTTTATAGGGATGCTCAGCCCATTTTCCAGTCATTCCTGCCCATCGTTGGACAGTTAACCCTTTCTAAATGTTCCCAGATTTCTTCAAAGCCAGCCCTCATCATTCATTTCAAGGTTGTTGGCTTCGAGAACACTGCGAGCCCAGTTGACAGCGGTCCATTCCTACCTTAGGCCTTATTTTCCGAATGGCGGCCTCCACCTCGTCGATGTGGTTTTCGACCTCGGCACTAGTCACAAGATTGATAGGTACTCTCAACATGTGCGAGGAACTTGTGAATGACATTATGGAAGATCGCGACTACCAGACGGTTTGTCTTGTGATCACCAATCACACGAACGACGAGAACGGCAACCCTTTCCTTGGTTATTCGGTGTGAAACAGTTATATCACAGATACCGTTCCCGAGGTGTGTACGCTGCTCGTTATTGACCATATCACCATCATTACTAAAGTATCTCCAGTTTATGAGTGCTTTACTTGATCCATGGAGCAAAGTGATTCGCCGCTCGAAGACCACCACCCTATTCTTTTTGGGCTGCGGAGCCATCATCAACAAATCCGAAGGTTTCAGCGGTTTGCAGTCTGGCTGTTGTTGATCACGCAATTTCAGTCTACGGTCGCATTCACTGCCAAACACTTCCATCTGGCATTCACTTCCCATCTTTTTATTGCATTCGCTCAGCTCGTTATTATTGAATGCTTCCCACTGTGTGAAGCATTCCCTGGGATAATCGAGCAATCGGGATTGGGCATGCACACCGATATCGTCCTGATGACCATGATGCCTCAAGACAATGGCCCAGTGATGCCACTAGAATGCACTCATTACTCGTGGGCTCATTCTACTTCTCGTCCGTGGGGAAAGACACTTCCTCTCCAATGCCCCGCAATGTGGGTGTCCCACCGAATGGAACAGAGTGAAGGCCGACTTCTCGTGCAAGTACATGGTCTTTGAATGTTCATTCGCAAACTGTGGCCTGTGTCAAGGACAAATCGGAAGCAAGGAAGCCCCGCTTGAAGATTATTTGCAAGGCTCCGAAGAACTCGAGGCTACTTCCAGGGAAAAGACGAAATGCCTCTTGGTTAGAGATCGCTCTTGACTTCTCCCAGTCCGTGACCGGTATGTCCGAGTTGGAATTGGATGTTGAGATGGTCTGATATCGATTGCTCATATATACCTTGTACGAATGGCGGGAAGTGCATGGATGAATTTGAATGTGACTCATGTGTGCGCTTCTTCGAACCTCGTTGTTGCCATCAGTTGTACCTAGCTATAGAATTTGAGTTACATTTCAACTACTCCGGCGGCTGTGTGTATGACTGCTCAGTATGCCTTTATCAGATTTACACTGGCAGCTTCTCGTTGATGCACTCTTCCTGTGCTACTCACTCTGCTATATTCTGAACTGTCCTCTACATTGGTGTGCGTGTATGTAACACATGAGCTACACAATATCCTGTAGGTATAATATATCTATAACACTCGAGCTGCATTGGGTCGAATACCTATGCGAGTTAGACATTGGTGGCTTGAACAATACTAAGACGTACCATTTGTGAAACTTGAAATGAGAGATCCATTAAGACATGTTGTCATGTCGTCTTGAGACGATTCAGGCTTCATGGCCAGTGTTATTACCCCCCACATTGTCAATACCCCTCCATGTCCTGTCAGACTGGCAAAGGTTTGCCCTCACAGCTCACTTTGTGTCTTACATGGACATGAAAGCCCTATCGTTTCTGACTTCGCGCTTGTACCCAACTAGCTTACTCCTGAATCCTCACAGCATCAGCTCGTCATTTAATATACACAAGGTAGTAGCTCACTGGTTATAGCACTATACATCATCGCCAAGCTTCCACAGCGGCCATTGAACGCTCGAGCCTCAAAGAGTGCAAGTAGGGTTGTCGAAGACTCGAAGTGAGGGCATGATCAAGTGACCTTCAGTTCATATCACTGTCCTATAAATATATGAGAGCGCCATGTTATTACAATAGATAACAGGATAGTTTGTATAAGGGGAGGAAATAGACGAGTAAGATACCCGAGAGAATTAACACCAGCAATATAAAAAAACGGCCAGCTCAGCTTTAGTAGCCCTCCCATTCCTCATTCAACTACATCATCACTCTCATCTTCCTCCGGACCCCCAGTATCATCTTCCTCGTTCTCTCCATCTGAACCGTCATCCGCAGGAAGCGTCATCATATCATTCAAACTAGAGTAATTAATATCACCACATGTACCCCAAAAGGTATACTGAAAATGAAGCACCGGACTCACCAATGGACAAATGGCATCATCACATCAGCAACACCACGTAGTGCATCCATAAACTCGGCTCCAGGCGCAATGACTTGGGCATCCATGAACCGGCAAGAAACAGCTAGGGAGCGGCATTTGAGGAGGGCAATATTGGTGCAACCTTCAATTGATCTTCATGCCCAAACACATTCTGACGTTCTCCATGCAGGTGCGGATGGGGAGGGCCAAAATGGGTAGTGAATGTCTCAGAAGAAAGGATTGTGCACAGGGTCTTAGCGGCGGGTGTGGAGCGGAGTAGGTGGTTTCTGTTAGGTGAGGGAAGGCATAAAAAGAACCATAGAAACAAAGGGGAGATGAGATGGACCTGAGAGTCGCAAGTTTGTTCTTAGCAGGACACCATGCACCTGCAGCAATGACGCTCTCATCACCCGGTTTGACTAATAGTCAGTGTCAGTGGATGACATCTTTAGGGGGCAACGGGGGAATCTGGGCATCAACCTCTGAGCATATTGGTAAAATCCTTGATCTTGAAGCCCTTGAACTCCTTTTCTATGCGACGATACACAGGTTCTGTTGTTAAAATAAGTGCAAAGCTTTAGTTTAATACAGAAGCCCCACATACCGTGTAGCTTGAACCTAGAAGCGCGTGATAATTTTCAGCCAGTGATAAATGAATGAAGGCCGTGATAGAAGTGCGAACCATTCGCGGTCGTTACACGCAGGGTCCTTGAGTTGCATGAGAAAATCAAGCGTGTTCTGTGAAACTTGGCCAGGAGGCACTTTAACACCGGTAAGTTGATCATTCCTGAAGCAGGAAAAGACCCAACTCACCCCAGCCTGTCTTTGGAGCTTGCACGATGCGACCCACGACTTGCTGCCCTTCCTTCAGGTCTAAATCACTCCCATCTACATCCTCTTCATCCTTGGCATCATCCTCCTTGGCTTTGCATTTCCTGGGCTTGGGCTTGGAAGGTAAGCTTGACTTATATTTGAAATTGGAAGAACGCGTGCGTTTCTTGGGTGGCGGGTCGTCGAGTGCGTTGCTGTGAAGAGATTCGGGCTCTGAGTCTTCAGAGGATAACTGAGCACGCTTGCAGAGGCCGGTTTTGCAGTGTAGCTGGCATCGTTTGCTCAAGTAGGACGGCAGGTCTAGGTCAATCAAGACTGAAACAATCGCAGGGCTTTGAACTTAACTCAAATTCCACTAGGTAACCCAGTACAACTGATGGCAATAGCTGAGGATTGAAGAAGCGCACACACTCACATTCAAATTCATCCATGCACTTCCCGCCATTCGTACACTTGATTCTCAGTCCTTTGACAAGAGGAATTTTTTAGGTGGACAACAGTCCATGCATTCGATGAGTTCATTGCCATTGAGCGTTTCCACGACGCCCTGGCAAGCACTTTGCAAATATACCCTCATGCCGCTGGGGAAACGACCATAGATACATCCTTCAGTTCCTCCCACATTTACGAATGCAAACCTAAACCAACAGCGAACTACTCAAAAGCACTTTGAGAGGAACTTCGGCTTTTTAGATGCTATCATAGAGCTCCTGAGTTACTAAGTTGCCTGCCCTTCAGGGAGCCAAATGCAGCATTTCACATCTGTTACTCTCATAAGTGCTACTAACTACTAACAGCAGGGATCCTGCACTACTTATGGTTAAATCGGTACCGTAAGCATCACAGTCGCCGTGATGTTAAATTTCCGACTTCGATTTCCTGGTGGTGCCGTAGCTAAATGCTGACAATCATTAGTTGCCCAACCGTTCTTTCGCTGAGGTTGACGGCATATGAAGGCTGGTCACGACGATAATGTATATCCTTCATGTTTATAAAAGTCACGGTGAGTTTTAAATTTTGACGTTGACATGTCCAGTGACGCTCTCAGGCTACAGTCTTCTATTAACTCTATGGTCAATTCAATTCCTTCTGCTTGTCAGTGTACTCAGTGCACAAACCGCAGCTTTCCTGCTCGGTGCTCATACAGAACTGCCCAGTGTCGAGGACAAGGAGATCAACTGCATGCGCTGCGGTTCAGCATTTTTATGAGGGAATGACTGAACAGCCTGCCATTAGAAGAATTTACCAGACAATGGTGCCAGGCCCAGCTTGAGAAAAGTAAGTTAAATGTGTATATCTGAGCTGACGAGATGCTGATCATGTCACCGTGTCGCACTAGTCGAGTTCAGAGTTCCTCTCCACACTCTGGATAGAAACCAATCAACCACTTATGTGGACCGCTCTCACTCTGAAGTCAGATTCCCACATAGACATACTCAACTCCATCAAGGCTACAATGGATGTCTCAAAGACATATCAGCACTTGGGCTGGCGTTTGTCTACTGCTCGCCACATGGACTCACCTCATCGGCTTTTAACAACGCATGACATTGATAGCGCTTTCAAAGCTGCAAGGACAGAACAGGGATCTGGCAGAAAAATAAAGAAAGTTGCCATTGAAATTGTCAATACTGTACGTGCTTTGATGATTGCAAGCTGTCTGCACGACGTGACATCAACTTGCAGGCTGTACAGAAAGAGAAGCAAGCACGATGACAGGCAGGTACATCTTCTGCGGGCAGGTATACAAAGGAGCTAGAAACAGTCACAAGCAAGTTGTGCCTGCCCTGACCATCCGAAGCTCGGAGAGGACACATTCTGCTGGGTCGATGCATCCCAGCCCGACTGCTCCACACTATCCGTTGTGCACCCAGGACCTACAGGAGTGGGCTAAATATTTGGTATGTGAAATACTTATTTGCGGCCTGCAAGGATACTACATAACGCTCATGGATTTTAGCACGAAACTGGAGATCCAGACTTTGTCATTTTACCCAGGACATCTCCGAATCATTTCAATGAAATTCAAAAGACACGTAAGGAGTGAACTACGTCATCGCTCCAGAGGGTGCCCACCGAAATCATACCACCCATCATCCATAATCATATCCACCTCCCACCTCCCACTAATGACACAATCTCCAACGGAATGCTTATGAGAGAACAAGGAAAGGGCCATACGGCTCCCCAACCGCTCAAGAGGACTTTTGCGCTCTATATGGGAGAGTGATGAAGAGTCCGACGACGACGAACCTCTGCAATGTATTGAGGATGTCCTTAGGACCGTCCATTCTCGCTACCCTGCGATGAACTTTCCCCAATATGCCGATAAACTGAAGGACCACGGCATTTTTTATTTGCCCACCACAGCTCATTTCAGTGTTAGATTCTATGAAGAGAAAGTTGGGATGTTGGAGGGCTCTGCATATACCTTTCAAAGCTGTATTTCTAAATCTCACACAAAGGTGGAACTTGCAAAGGAGAGAAGGCAGGCTAAAGGGAAGAAGAAAGCACAGGCCCGTGGTAACAGGGATGAAGAAAACATCCCCCCTAGTAGCTTATGATCATCATGCAGCGCTCTGAGCATCATTCAGGCTCTAGCGTGAAATTTTAAATATCTTTTTGTTATTGATAGGCCTACATAATCTAGGAAGGACTAATCCCCAGCTCGAAGACAACTGGAAATGACAGTTTAATATACAGTCGGTGAGAACTTGAGCATGATATAATTTAGATTTGAAATGAAAATTTTTTGTCAGTCACTGGGTGTAGTTGCTGAGTAGATATGGGTTGAACAGATGAGAGAACATGGTCAAGCTATGTTAAGATAAACCCACGAGAATCTGTGCGCCTCACACGTTAGCTACATATGGCTATGCCTGTACCTATGAACTTTACGATCCTGGCAAGCTGACATGCTCAAAATTCAACCAGGTGTGCCTTGGTCATGTAGTTCAAGATATAACTACATGTGTGCACATTGTATATTCAGCATCTGCCTTGGTTCATCTCTATAAACTTGTTGTACCATCACTAGCCGTGACTATGCAGCCTCATCTTAGGTATGATCTGGGCTATGGGTACCATATTCACCAAAATCAGAATATATTAATATATATGACATATTGATAGATCAACCACGTACTACAGTATCGCATATGTGCACCTTCGACGCGTCCACTGATATCATTGCTCCTCCTCACTCAATATCCTTCATCCAAGTATGTCTGGCCTCCCTGTGCCCACCAGGATTCAATCCCCAAGCCTGGATCCAAATCCCCGAATCAGCACAGGTTCAAATATGGAGGGACACCACTGCACGCACCCAACCTGATGTCCCACCACATGAATCACAGATTGACCCTGCTTTTCTCGGGCCAAATTTGAATGGGTTGTCGTGGACTGTACAGTGCAGAGTCCTATGATGCGAATCAGTGATGGACCCCATGCACCTATGCCTCCAATGGGGAGCGAAGCCATACCAAGGAATACTGTGGAACAGTAAGTAACATTCCTTCGACGGTTTCAAATGACTGTACATTGTTCGCACAGGGACAACACAGCACAGTCAAGAGTGAGGAACCAGCAAGGGCAGCCAAGGAGAGGTGCTGAAAGGAGTCGGTATGTCAAGAATGGTGCATATATGTGCATAGACTCACCTGTACAATGCAGAAACTGACCTCGCGAACACACGCTGCTCACGTACTGATGAGCATAGCCGAAAACGTCGACAGGACACCCGTTCTAGATCCCCTCTTCCACGGGAAAGGAACATGGGAGACTGATTCGCACAGACACTCACGCTCTCAACTGTTCATCATCACAAAGTTCAGAGGATAGTCCTTTCTCGCCCTTTATCAAGCAGTGTGAACCGGACTTCTGATCCACCGGAAATGGATGACTCAGGATGTTAGTGAACTTCTGCGGAGCATCCGAGAAGATCAGCTTGAAGACCTGTGCCAGGCTCGATGCACTTGAAGGCTCTCGTACGATCCAACCCAGTCGTCATACAAGACCAACCGGAGCTTTCGGAAGAGGTGGTGCTGCTATTGCAAGACTGTTGGGGTGTGTATCGGAGAGCTGAGACAATCATCAAAAATCGCTTACAAATGAAGTTCGGAACTTACTCAAATGACCAGAGATTTCTGGGGGGACTGCAGCACGCTCGAGATGGTCCAGCGGTTCCCGATGCTTGGCCAGTTGACTGGTGCTTGACCAGTGGAAGTGGAAGGCACTACACGGACTGCAGGAGCTGAGACTGGTGGCCGCAAGAGACCACAGCCCACGCTGGAAGATAGGTGCTCTAGTGGGAGTGCGAGATCCCCCTCGTGTTGATGTTCCATGTGCATGCTGAGCCAACATAGACCGGTTGATGGCTTGGTCAGCGCTGGTGTTGCTGAGAAGTCGCCATTGAGACAATCTGGCCATTTGGATCCTTCGTTATGCATGCCCCACATTTACAAAGCACCTCGCGGCGATTAGATAGCGCGCTTTTATTGGTAGACTAGAAAACAATCAGAACAATGTCAAAAATTTCATTATACAAGACTTACCTCATTTCTTGCCATTGAGTGTTCAGGAATGTTGGTAGTAAGAGTTTAAGTGAGGGACTTACACGATTTTGCAAGAAACCCTTGCCCAGAAGTGCGGATCAGCCTCTCTGATATCTGTCCTTATCAGTACAATACAGGTGGTCACACGGTGCAGCTATCTGGGCCATGTTTTGATGAAACTGGTCATGTATTCCAAGGAGGAGTCAGCTATTTACAAGATAGGAAGCTCATGTAGTCAATGGGTTCGAGTCGATAGATGCTAGCGAAGTAGCTATAGAGAGACAAAGAAATGTTCAGACTGCTTAGTTCGAGGCCAAACTTTGTCAATTCAAGGGCAAAACGCAGTGAGTGATGCTAGACCAAATGGACCCGTGATGGCCAACATCCAATGTGAAAAACCGTGGGAGAACGATATAGGACGCACTGGGCAGTTGACGATAACTGGCATGCAATGCAATTATGTGACGTACCCGCCCAAAGGTTTGACATGCAGTCAGCGATGACCAACATACAATGCAAAAAACAATGGGACAGATCCAACGTCTGAAGTGAGAGGGTGCATAGTGCAGTCGACAATGGTGATATTCATGAGATGTACCCGCCCGAAGGTTTGGCATGCAGTTGGCAATGACCAACATACAATGCAAAAAACAATGGGACAGATACAACATCTGGAGTGAGAGGGTGCAGAGCAGTGCAGTCGACAATGGTGATGTTCATGAGATGTACCCCCCGAAGGTTTGGCATGCAGTCGGCGATGACCAACATGCAATGCAAAAAACAACAGGACAGATACAACCTGAGAAGAGGATAGTGCAATTGAACGTTGAACACAGTTGATTCGGGTTGAAACGTTGAACATTGAAAATAAATTATTTATTGTTGTTTGTTTGTCTGTCTATTTGTTGTTTATTTATTTGTTGTTTATTTATTTGTTGTTTGTTTATTTGTTTGTCTGTACTTAGGACTTTCAACAGGCACTGCAGGAGCACAACTGAGCTGCAGTCTAGATGACTATTTTATATTGTACATTTCATTTGCACTTCCTCTGGCAGACCCTTCATTCCTTTGATATTATACCTTATTAGTGATATGATATTATTTGCCCACCTGGGATGCTCACCTTAAATATAAACATTTGCAGTGAGGGCACAACGCTGTTCATCCGATAGTGTGTTGAATAGTGTTTCCATAGCGACATGCTCCATAGTAGCTTTGGTAAGTTTAAAATCTAGATCTTTGAATTCTCCCGAGGACATTTCAGTTAACGCCCACTTGAATAAAACGGCTGTATAAGTAAACAGCGGTCAGGAGATTCCATTTCACTGCCAATGTGGTGTTTGTATTGCCTATCATGGAAGAGTAGCTGCCAGATGTAATACAATATTGCTACATTCCCAAAAGGAATATCAACATTTGTTCCGTTGACCTGAATAAAGTAACATGAGCAGTCATCAATGAGAAATGAGAACAAATGACGGGCATTGATGACACCTCTAAGGAAGAAATCATCTTGAATGAGACTCTTGACAAACTTTTTCACTTCCTGTTTGCTCTCCATGTGCATTAACTGGTGTAAACCATATCCCCAGAGCATGGCGCTGCGTGTGAGAAATTGTATGTTTTTTCTAAGTGTGGTGAGAGCGGTGCACAGTTTGACAATCTCTTTTTTGCCAGCTTTCGTGGTGGCCCAGGCAGTAAGTTCAACTGTGCTCGATGAGCAACGGACGGTCTATGGTGAAGTTCGGAGACTTACTGCTGTGGGACACCTGGGCTGTAATACATGCCCTTGCCATCCTTTCTACATCCAAGTTGTCACTTGGCAGGAAGGAGCTGTCAAAGATACTCCTCTTCATCTGAAGCAATGCCTTTGCCTTCACATCACCTAAATCGGCAAGACCAAACATAATTGAAGGCACAGGTTGAGCGGCTGGCGCAGAAGATAGCACAGGAGATGGTGCAGGAGGTGGCACAGGGGATGGCACAGGAGGTGGCGCGGGAGACGGTGTTACCGGTGCGGGGGGCAGCACACCCGGCACAGGAGGCGGGTTATCAAATGCTGCGCTTTGAGATGACCCCTCACCTTGTTCTACAGCATGAGAGAATATATCACAGTGATGATGCTGTTGTGAGATGGTGTAGGGTGCATGACGAACCCGGGGAGAAGAGAGTTGGGAATAGTAAGCCTCGTTGAGCATGGACTGGGAACCTAGTAGTGGTGGTCCCCCCTCGATTACAGGATTATCAAAATCAAAGGTGTTATGCCGCACCCAGTCGAATGGCTGATCAGGGTGTTCATGCTGTTGGTACAAGTATATGTAAGTCACTGATAATAAGATTGGCTTTGGTACTAGCCTACCATAATGACCATATCCTCGGAAGGAGTCATTGTCCGGAGCATCTGGGGCTCTGGATTGTTGAAGTTGTCCCACCACCACAGTGACTGGTCTGAACCATCAGTATCTTGGGGAGCGGGCTGGGAAGGCTGAGTATCCAACATGATCGCAGGCCCCTGGTGAGGCACACCATTGTGATCATACATGTTGCGGTGATCCATTAGATGGGAGGATTCGCTGGTGGAAAACGATTCCACAGATGGATAACGAGTGTTAAGCATAACACTCGTTATCCATCTGTCGAACAAAAGAAGGTATGGTGAGTCCCGCACAAGCGTGATTGGCAGCGGCACGAAGTTTGAACCTGAAACAATTCCAATCCTAATATAAGCCAACTCAGAGTTTGCTCAGTACGGCGACCAGGTCACGGTACGGTTACTTGAGTACCATGGTGATGTGCAAAGTAATATAAAGTAATGTAAAGCAATATCTAAGTCTGAACCGAGCATGAATTGGTGTGATTAGATTGCTTTAGATTGCTATATATTACTTTGTATCGTAATGTACAGGAAAGAAGCGTTGGGCTTACAAAATACTACAAAATCTACTAATATCTAAGTCTCACTGGTTTACTGATGCCAGCCCCCCACCACTGACTCGGAAAGTCAGATGAAGGCTGCTGCAGCGCGAAGTTTGAACCTGAAACAACTTCAAATTCCTTTGAGTCACTCGGGCTGAAGCCTGATATGATAATCCTATCCACAATTCAAATGAATCGCACCTGACTCAGAGTTGACTCAGTACAGTCGTGGCAGTAGGACATTTTCAACTTGAAGTGATCCGGGCGAGTTCCACACATGATAGATGGCGGCGCAAAGTTACCTGAAGACTCGACTTCGGATTTTCCCCTGCATGACCAATCCACCATGGTTGATATTAATATTGCGTTAATATGCAGCACTACTACACTAGACAAGGAAAGTTCTCACTGTCTTTCAATCCCCGCTGACTTGACGTTCATAACTTCACCGTGAACGTCCTCTCAGTCCCGGTCAAGTCATACTATGATGCGTAGCAGTCAGGCTGGTACTGTACACACCCATCTCACCACTCCTCCAAGCTCGGTCGGAAAGTCTAGTTATGATCCCGATAGCAGTGATGAGTCTCCTCAAATTATCGTTCAGCCTCCACCCAGCTCTCTGCCTGACCCTGCACGGGCCCATGACAAGAAGAGATGCAGCCGTACGGTAGCACGTCCCGTACGCCCTGGCAATCGTCGATGATCACCACCATCCAGTGACACCTCCTCTGATTCTGAACATGAGCTCTTTGCATTTCCATGCCCTCCTTCCGACTTAATGAAGCTCCTGCCTGCCCTTGCAGGGTGTGCGCAAAGAAAGTTCAGGCCTTATGCGAAACCACATGGTTTCGTGCCTAATGCATTAGAGCTCCGCTTTTTTGAAGGTGTCTCGAATCTGGCGACAATGATATGAGTCTGGCGGACATCGAAGAGGTATGTTATCCTGATGTACACTGTTTCGTAGAAATTGACAAGTCCAACACCAGGGCAAAGATATCCTCATGGATAGCCTGAAACGCTTGTCTAAGAAGACTATCACTCAAGCTGTCGCTGCGAACGAAGCTGATTGTGAATCCAAGCGCATGGCCGTTCTGGGAATGGCATGGGTGGTCGAGGCAAAGGACTGATACCAGGCGCTTCTTGAAATGATCGTCCAAGAAGAACTTGAAAGATATACCATCAGCACTAAAGAAGCTGCCGTTCTCCGGAGTTTCTTGGTTGGATGTAGCTGGGAGGATCTCGAAGTTGCCAAGGACTTCGATGTGGGTGCACACAGTCACAATTCCAGGTCGTTAGCTGTTGCCAACTTAACCCTGAATCACATTGAGGGTGTTAAGTCGTGTCTGCCAGAGGAAGATGTTAATTTGACATCTGACGACTTCGAGTCTGATGGCTGAGGTGCGATTCCGAATTTCCCGGGCTGTTTTTTGTTGTAATACTTACTGACATGACGTGACAAGGCAGGAGTTGTTCGTTGTCAGTGGTGACCTTTGGATTGTTGTAAATGTGCACCGTCATTATCTGGCAGATGTGACCATCATGCATTCATTTCTTGTATCCACCAGAACTATAGCCTATAGATTATCAAATGCATGTATCCTTGATGAATGATGAAGCTAGTACTTGAGCGAAAACGCGAACTGCAGAAGTACACGGTGTGTGCGGCAGACTAGTAGCGGACATGACATCAGAGAACTGGTGAAAAGATGAGAAGGTTATTTAAAGCAATATATTGCAGAGCATTGCAACAATCTTTGTATATTTGCTGACCGGCCGCTCAGGCATGCAACAGTTACTGTTCCCGATTCATCCATCTCGACTCCATCACCAAAAGTCCGCAAGTCAGAAATTGCCTGATTTGGGTTGCGGCTGCACCACAACACTTCTCTGAAGTGCCACATCATGATCATAAGCGATCGTGCATACAATGTCATGCTAATGCAATTGTAAGGTGTATGAGAACCTGACAGCAAGTAGCTAATGGTTGCTCCAGTCTGCTATAAGATTATCTATCCCAGCTGGAGTATATCAACAAATAATATAATTAAAGTGCGCCATAGCCTTCTCTTGCGAAGAGAATTATATCCTCCTATAGTTCCCACGGCTACCATGTCAAGGACTCATCAGTTCTCTGATGTCGTCATTGAGTTCCTCACCTCATCAGCCTGCACTCAGTCTTCCTCGTCCTCATCCTCATCAGAGCCGTCCTTCTCACCGTTGTCCTCATCCACATCTTTGTCTAATTCCAGCATCCACTGACAATGACGCAAGTGAGGACAGTCCCTCTTTTCAGTATGATATCAATTCCAAATTGTTTCTCAGACGGAGTCATCATGTTTGGAGGCGTTGATTCATCATTAGTAAGTCGACAGGGTTTCTTGTTCAATGTTGTTCACTATTTGATGTTATCTAGTTCGTTGGTAATATTACATATGTCCCTGTCACAAGCACCTATCCTGCAGTGTTATCTTGGGGGATCAATGTAGCGAGTTGCTTTTACGGTGAAACAATTATTTTTTTGACTTCGACTGCTGGAACTTTTGATACTGGAAATTCACGTATGTCCTTTCCATGCAAGTAAACTTATGATTTTTCTAAAGCCTAGTACTCCCTCTAGTCGTAGCGCTTGCTGATGACTTTTTTGCCACATGCATGGCTGCCATTCCTGGTTCGTATTATGACAACCAGTCATCATTCATTGTTATCCCATCATCATCAATTGGGAACATGCAACCGCTGAACCTTACGATTGGCGGTGCTGTGTTTACAATGGACGTTGCTGCACAGCTTGTCCCAATTGGCCAGGACTCTGCTTGGGATGGCAATCCTGGAGTACAGTATGGTACAGTCGGACCCTTGGGACACCAAAGTGGCCAGGGCTGGGATTTCATCCTCGGTCAGAAGTTTCTAGAAAGATATTACGCCGTCAGTAATTTTTCAGACATTCGGTCAGACCTGATGCTCTATGTAGGTCTTTGATGGTGAAAAGAAATGTGTGGGTTTAGCATATACGTGAGTGTTGTTGAGTCCGTGTATTATGTCCAAAGTGATCAGGCTGTTCCTAGAAACTACTCCACATCACCTCCGCCCAAAACTTCAAGTGCTTCATCAAATACATTTGGATTCTCTCTACTAGCATTACTATCAATAATTACCCAAGCCTATACCCTGCAAATCATGTTTTGATTCTAACATATCTGGAGGCACATACATTCACTAGGACTTATATATGTAGCATCTATATAGCGTATGTAATCAATAGTGACATCGACATGGTAGCGTGTGCACACCGTTCATCCAAAGCACCTGACCTGGTCGTTGTTTACCAAGCAATACTATCATTGAAAGCAGTGCTGATGGCACAGAACTCCAGAAGGGGACAGCTATTTGTTCCACTTTCATTTCATTTTGCACCAGTTACTGACACGCTCTGCATGAACAGTCTCACATGTAATAGTAGAATCAAATTCCAGTTGTATTTCTTGTCTGGTTGTTTTTGAAACACATCAATAGAACCAAACAAAAGCTTGTAATTGATAATGCATGGACACATCTTATTTTCATCTTATCTACTACTATCATCATGCCAGCCCGTAGATACCACTCACTGTCGACCTCCAACAGCTCATCATCAGATAGCGACTACTCGATGATGAGTCAGTCACCGCCTGAGCGCGAAAAACTGAAACTGAAGAAATCCCTGCAAAAACGCGTGAGGGAATCCTCAGATAGTGACACCAATGTGAAGAAACCCAAAAAACGAACAAAGTAAGTTAGTTTCGCATTATCAGGTGCATATATACACATCTAATCCCTCTGTCTTAGGAAACATAAAGACTCAGACTCAGGCAAACAGCAAGTACATGCCAGCACAACATGTTTATCTCTCAATGTCCAATACAGGAAAGGAATGTCACTGCAAGAGCAATGCTTACACATTGCACATTGGATACCCCAAGGGGTAGACATGTTTTGCAAACTTACTGATGTCTTTCGTGTTGCACCTCTCGTCGAGCAACGAGAAGCAGCCGAAAAAGTAGACCATATCGAGGATGAACAAGTTAAGAATGACTGCGAAGCAATCTTGAAGAACATGTGAGTACAGCTCACGATCACATTTCATTTTTGCTAATAACACTACTCTAGCTCCAAGGATGAAGAGGCATGAACGATGCGAACCTACAAGAAGATAACCACGGCTGCCCCATACCTACTAATGCTGGTCAATGGTGACAAGAAGAAGCGGCAAGAACTCGAGGGACTTCTCACTGAGGTAAGGAGTAGTATGCATGCATATATGCACTGATTTGTGCGCTAATGTCACTTATAGATGCAAGTGATTATCAGACAAGTTCGTTTGGAGGACGCTAGCCATCTGAAACCAGTCATTGGACAGTATGCAGCATATGAACCTGATGACAAAGATCTAGATCCTCCCATTCGTGCTAATAACCAATGGTCATGTGTGAAGATGGGTATTAATCATTCGCAGCTCGCCAGGATGCTCTGCCCTGTGAAGCACTTGGGTGAATATTTGAAAGATCATATAGCGTAAGTACTCTCCACCATTGGTTGAAGTTACTGATGGTTTTGATTAGAACACGCCAAAAGTTGCAAGACGGAGATATTAAGATGCGCGCATTGGTCTGGCCAGCCATGGTATACTCTGGTAAGATTGCTGGGGAACATTTCAACCCTCAGCAGGTGCAGAATGGGCTATTTGAAGGATACCTTCTCGAGCGAGTGAGTGATTTTTTATTAGACTGATTGATCTTCGAGCATTCATCACACCTGTGTCTCTCAGGTGATGAGGCATCTCTTCACAGGACCATCCTCCGCTCTTTGCGCAGACAGCGAATCTGTTGGGACGCATCCATGTAATGCTCGTCTCCATAATATGACGGAGGTAGAAGCAGAGAATATTGCATATGGTGTGATTCAGGTACATCTCTCTTTTTACATTTTAACTACTACTCAATGTCCTTATACAGAGCCATTTCGCCATCGGTTCGCAGGACAAGTGGAAGGAAGAAGACGGAAATTACAACTACCGAAGTGCTTATTATCGGGTCATTTCAACTATTCGTGACACCCCAGACCCCAATTGGGCAAAGGCATTGCATGAACATTGGAACTTGTATGTATTGGCATTTCTTGCGAGCTGTAACTGACAAATTCAATCAATAGTAAATTGTTTAAAAACAAGCTTGGGCTTCACGCCTCCTCTATGAACATGACCGACAGCAACGATGAGGACGATGACTTGGCCGTCATGAGGAAGCAGTACGAGCAGAGGCTTGCAGACGAGGCGGCTGGTACTGCCCAAGCGATAGCTTCAACTGCTTTGCCCACTCCACCAAAGAGCCCATTGGTCACTATCACATCCGATGACATCAAAGACAGCACAAACACCACTTCCAATCCATGTCTGCCGGCAGAGAAGAGTCTCCAAGTTGTCTCACCTCTCAGTTTAGATCCGAAGCCCCAGGAATCTGTAAGCTCCAAGAAACCCAAGCCATTATCCATGGAACCGTCTCTCAGTTTACATCCGAGGCCCTGGGAATCTGTGAGCTCCAAGAAAACCGAGCCGTTATCTGTGGAACCAGTGGATGATGAACTCGGTGTTCTCAGCAGTGAGGAAGACGAACTTGTGGAACCCGAGCCACCGAAGTCAAAATCAAAGAGGGGCCGTGGCCACAAGACCATTGTGAAGCTGCCAAAGAAGAAGACCAAGGCAGCGCCACGCAAGAGGAAATGAGTTACTACTCGTTCACTGTACGTCCAAGCATACTTTGCTTACTCCATGCTCATTGGCATGATTCTCAAATTTCAGCTCGCCTCGCATATCATTCTGCATCGCAATTCGGCGTTATCATACACTTGCTGAATTTTCAGTTTCCCCTTTCGCAATGCTTTCAAGTTTCCTCACATCAATGTTTTCACCCTCACATGATAGTATCAAGTCTCATCAAATTGTTGTACTACCAGGATTACTCATTTCGGACCGCAATGCTCCCTCTGTTTTACCCTGCCACCGCGCGCTTTACAGTACAATCAGGACCTTACTCGTAGCTAATGCCACATAATACAATAGCAAATTGACATCTGTTTAGCATGACATATCAGTGTGATAACCGGATAGAACAATGAAACCGGCTTAGCAGAACATATCAGTATGTTACATGGCTAGCAGCTGAGGAATGAGCAGCAGTTGAGCAGCACATGAGCGAAAAAAACGAACCTAGGTATGACCAGATAAGCGGACCCTGTGGCCTGATACACCTGCCGTACCTTAGAGGTCTTCTAAGGGCTGATGCGACCTTAGCATGCCATCACTGGAATGGGAAATTTTGGCGATGTTGGCTTGTTCAGTGTCTAACACTTTGAAACTCACTGTTCTCCTTGGCTCTGGCCATATAATGGCTTGACTGTGGTTTGGCGAGTCCCGCAGTGGTAGGGCTAGGTCACCTCTTGGAGAGTCACTGTGTTTCCATCGCCATGCTCTACTACCCACTGCCGGCCCAACTCAATTCTCGTCAATGGGCATCCTGTTACTCCCTGGCCCTTCGTATAATGCACGGACGGACGGGAGCAGTCTTTTGAAGTCAATCACATTGTGTTTGCCTTGGGCTTGGGCAGTGGCACAGGACGAATTCCAGATATCCCAAGGCAGGTATGTTCGTTCACAAATGTAGGGCTCTCAAGTCAAAGCTAAGTGCATATGTAGGATGAGTTCGAGGGACGGATATTACATGCTAGCAAACACAACTTTGCTACTGACCACGCAGGGAAAAAGGTAGCTGTTGTTGGGGCATGCACATCTGGTAAAGATCACATCATGAACAAGTTGTATTTTCTCTGTTAACTCAAAGATTGTTTAGTGCATGACATATGCGCCGACTACATTGAAAATGGCATCGGTAAATGATTTTATTCAAGAGCTTTGATGTTTGAGAGTACTAAGACAAACCTGGCCCCAGACATTCACCACCTCTTCCGCAAACCACCTTGCATCCCGCACATCACCCCACTTTGCAAGGACCTTGCATTGTCATTGTGTCACTGTGACTGCAACTTTTCAAGATCTTCAATAATGCTGTCTTCACACCAGGTGGGAGATAATGTCTATGATCCTGCTGGACCCACCAGCCTCACTTTTGAGAGGAGGAAATCTAAGATGGATTGAACTAGTGAGGTATCAATAATCGCACTGAGACTTAGTAGAATACAATTTGTCGGTGTCACATGACTGTTACAAACAACACATCAACAGAAGATTTGCCCCAATATTCATACTTATGTCTCCCTCAACCACGACCCACGATAAGGACGCGCAGAAGAAGTTGGGGAGACTTGCTATGACTGCATCAGCCATGTACAGAATCAATGTGAGTATGTGTTGTGATATTTGTTTCATTGAATGTCACAAGCGCTGTGTACTCTGTGGCCATAGACGATACAGGAGGGTGCATGTTTTGTTGACTCTGTTTACTCTCTCTTTTGCTGCTACTCTTGTTAGCATGGGGTCCTTCAAGAATTACCAGCATGCTCCCGTGCTCGAGCTCAAGATCACTCTGCCTCACCCCAAGTTCCCCAAGCCCGAGCAGCCCTCTGAGAAATGAACTGACGCGAGCCACAGCACGTGTTATGAGGTGTTGATGCATATAGTCACTCAGTGGTGCGCATATAGTCTCTAATGATGTGCATATAGTCGCTAATGATGTGCATATAGTCACCCACTGTGCGCATATAGTCACTCAATCACACGCTGCATAAATAAAATTATCAGCACTCATTCTTGTGTGCTTGCGCATGTCTGAACCCATCTCTGTGTGTTTGATGACATTTGCATTCGTCTGCAATTGTCCCCGCTCATCTGCACTTGCTTGCACCTGGTGATTGTGATTGCGTTCATCTGCACTCATTTATATTCATTTGCGCTTGTTTGAGCAATCTAGGCGAGTCTCTTTTCATTTATACACGCTGACAACTTCGCTCATTGTTGTGTACTTGTGCATCTATATGTTTGCCTCGACATATCTGTGTCCGCTGTCTTGTGCAATAGGTACAATTTTTTTGTCATTGATCCCTGCGGTAGTATGCGTGTCTCAATCCAATGCTAATCGAACGAAGGAGACCGAACATTCATGGGTAAGACTCATTTTGCCAACAGCTGCACTTACAAATTACAATTCACAAGTCAGGCTCAAGCCATCACTGAGAACGCCCGCTCTCATTAGAAATTAAGTGCAGTCGCAAATGTCTGTCATCTCCCACTGCCTCTCAACACCTGCTTTCATCTCTCGCTAGTTCTGAATGGATCCCACTGGTTCATCACTCAACACCTCCTGCCTCCCTCTAAATGCCCCCCACTATTGCTCGCTCCCACTACCCTTCTTCCTGGTCTGGGCAACACTACAGCTCAATCATTGCGGATTTTTGGTTTGGCTCGCGTTCGTCATCTCTGGTAGAACTGGACCCAAGTTCGGTTCTCGGTTCTCGCCCAACCTCCTCTGAACCGGACTGAACCCAACCAACACCATAAAGCTCTATCTAATTGACGTGATTCGGACCTGTCTGTCATAATGTCGCCATGGACTCCGTCATAAGTCCTGCTCTCTGACTTCGTCTGGACTTCATTGACATATGCCACACTGATTCCGCGTACAAACTCCGTTATTGTCTTCTGTGTTCTTAGTGGAATTCTCTTAGTACATATAAATACAATTGTGTCTCGCCTCTGTCAAATTCATGGTTTTGCGCATCAACGAAAAGCAGTGTCTCAGAGTGGAATGCTCAGTATTTTGAGCCATTATCTTCAGTACCTGCGAACATCACAATGTCAGTGTTTTACTCGGTGCTATTCAGTGTGCTGTCAATCCCATCTCAGTGTCTTCAACACTGGAAAATGTCACTTTCAGGGTTCTAGGTACTGAATTCTCGCACAGCCTATCTTCTAGTTCCGACATGGACTGCGGTCATAAGATCCAAAACCCTGAAAGTCAGTATTCTCAACATTGACTTTCAGTATTCTATACACTTGTTTTTACTTCCCACAGTGCAACCAAGCCTGGGTGCTTTACAACTTTGACTCAAGTCCTTGCTTCCAAGTTAAGAGCTACTACCAGTCACGTGGGTACCCACTCTGGGCCAACCATTCAGTCAGGCTGCCGCACACCCAGGTCACTGACTGAGCACTGAGCTGGCGGCACTGGTCCGACGAATGTGCAAAAAACTTCCATGGCTTCAAGTTGTTCTTCTTTTGCTCTTCATTTATTATATGATGATATCTTGCAATGCTCCAGGCTGCATGTGGGAGAACGCAGCTAGTGACAGTCGAGGACTTAGTAGGCACCTGTGCAACATGCAAATCCTACCGGGTGTCCAGCAGTCATGAGCAGCCATAAAAGACACGAGAGGGCAAAAGAGGCAGCTATAACTCTGGCACGACCGTTGCCAGCAGCAACAAAGCGAGGCTCAGGCAGATCTTTAGTGAGCAGTCTTTTTTGCGTATGATTCGGACGGCAAGTCAAAGCTATCATGATGATAACTCAATTGTGTTTCTAGAACATATTGCCCATTCAGCCTCATGTGGGGAGCGTCCGCTTAAAACCCATCGCTCCGTGCCCTGGCAGACCGTCAAGCAGGTATGGGATTGAGACTAGCATGCCTAATATTGGCTCAGCGGGTCCTGAGCACAGCCAGCAACCCAAGTCAGACTCGGAGCAGCAGCAATTTGATACTGACAACAACGCACTCGATACCGATGTTTTAGGTATGTCACAGCCCCTCAGTCACTCAAGTTGACTGATAACTTACTTGTTCTTCTTTTTGCTTGTCAGAAGAACCTTTGCACCCTCTGGGACGAATACCTAGATATTTAGAGGATGTTCCTCTTTCTGACAAGGATACTAATAACTTGGAAAATACCGATGTTTTGCCTTCTTGAAACCCAGACCCACCTCAATCTAGACTCTGGAGAGTTCTATTGACGTTATGAGATACATTTCAGACCACCTTCAACTCTCTTGGACTTTGCCGACTATACCCTCATTGCCCATCCTTCGAGCCAGATAGATCTATCCCGTCTCGCTACTTTCAACTACGTGTCCCACAGCTCTGCAAGAGGCTGATTCAGGCATTCTCCCACCTCCATATCCTTTCCCTAATATGACAGTCTATCGGCTCATGGCCTGGATGAATCCCGGCAGCAACAAGAAATCCAAGACTGAAGTTGCCCGTCTCGTCAAAGAAGTGATGCTGGCGGAAGATTTTGACTTAAAGCACTTGGAGGGCTTTTCAGTGAGGAGCAGTTTGCGAGAATTGGACAATGACCCTAGCAAGAGCAAGATCGAGTTTCCAGATGACTGGATTGAGGCCAGTGTCACTATCAAGATTCCTACGAAATCAAAGGAGGATGAGGCGAGACCCTTTTCCGTTCCTGGATTCCATTTCCGCCCCCTGGTTGAGGTAATTCGGTCAGCTTTCACGAGCATCCAAGCGAGTGCATTTCACCTGTCACCTTTCAGGCGTCTGTGGAAGGATCCGTTGGACAACCATCAAGAGTGAGTGTTTGATGAGTTATATACTTCTGACTCTTGGCTGGATGCCCAAGACGACCTGCAAAAGCTCCCGAGGGAACCTGGATGTAAACTGGAACATGTGGTCACTGGTCTCATGTTTTTCTCGGATGCCACGCATCTGGCAAACTTCGGAACGGCAAAGGCATGGCCCCTGTATATGTACTTCGGTAATCTAACAAAGTACGCTCGCTCGGCGCCAAAGTCCGGCACATGTCACCTTGTGGGATTTTTACCGTTGGTGAGTTCTCCTACCCTACCTGTAAGGATCTGTCCCACGATTGCCCATCAGCTGCCTGATAGGATCAAAGATGTGCTGAGCAGCTTGCCTTGCATGTCCAAAAGCAGCATGGCTGCCCTACAGACACACTGTCGACGTGAATTGTTTCATGCATGCTGGGATATCTTACTAGATCAAGAATTTATTCGCGCATACCGCCATGGTATCGTGTTGAAATGTACCGATGGTGTGTTGCGGAGAATATTTCTGTGTATATTCACGTACTCAGCCGATTACCCTGAAAAGTGCGTTTTGTCCTGTAAAGATGGGCAAATTACTCAACGACTTTTAGGGTTTTAATTGCCACTATCAAGGACATGGGCTCATGCCCATGTCCCCGTTGTCTCACACCGAAAAATATGTTTTCTTCTCTTGGTCTCCTGATAGACATGAAGAACCGTATAACCAATCTTCGAATCTACGTCTCAGCTAACATTGCTAAGGCACGAGGATATATCTACAATGGGGGTAACACCAGTGGATGGTGTGAAGGTCGACGAGACGCTGGGAGAAGGCTCATGGGTGCCTATTCTGGTAAGCGCAAATTGTCTGTTGCTCTCGCATACCAGCTCAGACAAGTGATTCGCAGAACACATTTGTCGAGAAGCTGGGAGCATTGGGCCTTGACCCATTTCGTATGCTGGTAGTGGACTTTATGCATGAGTGCAAGCTGGGTACCTGGAAGGCGCTATTCACTCACCTCGTCAGGATCCTATTTGCGCTTCCAGGGGGAAACCAGGTGATTGCAACTCTAGACACAAGGTGGGCGGAGTTTACATAGCAACCGTGACAGGTCACTAACAAACTTTATCCAATCATAGATTTCGTCTGGTTCCAACTTTTGGTAATGGGGTAATTCGGATGTTTGCAAACAACACATCTGAGATGAAGAGACTGGCGGCACGAGACCTCAAAGACAATCTTGCAGGTTTTTTCACACTTTCATTGACTATTCTTTATCTAGTTTGCTGACGGCCTCACTTCAGTGTGCGATACCTGTGTTCAAAGGGCTGTTTCCCGCCAGTCATGATCAGATCGTACAGTCTCTTTTATACAGGTTCGCTCAGTGGCACACACTTGCCAAGTTAAGAATTCATTCAGAGACGACCCTGGGTTTCCTCGAGGAAACATTCAAAACACTCTCTAAGCAGTTACGGAAGTTCCGCGACTTTACCTGCGCTGCTTTTGACACAGTAGAATTACCGAAGGAGAAGGCAGCTCGCCAATGAAGGTTTGCGCAGCGTGGACCTAATGGCGTTTCTTCAGAACCAAGCGGACCAAGGGTGAAAAAGTTCAATTTGAGCACATACAAGTTTCACGCCATGGGAGATTATGTGCGAACCATCAAGCTCTTTGGTACGACGGATTCTTTTACCACTCAGATTGTAAGCATTGTCTCTTCCCTCAAGGATAATTCTGAAGATATGTCATTGACTAGGGGGAGCTGGCGCACAGAGCCTTGAAAGCATTTTATCCACTCACTAGCGAGGTGGACACTCCTGCACAGCTAGCAAAGCACAAATGGAGGCGCCATGTACTACGGCGAGTCACAGAAGCAGCAGGTATCTACTCAAATATCCCATCACCAGCTGACTCTCCTGCTCCATCGATATCCAATGATCATCATTTTATCGCAATCAGTCAAAATGATCCAGTCTCTTTGTTCGCATTCCTCCGGGAACACGATGGTGATGCTGCTATTAAGGTAACACTAGTACTTTGGTCCAGTTGGCTGCCAGTTTGCTCATGATGGTTTTCAGAACTTCATCCCGAGACTTAAGGACCACATTTTGTATAGGTTGAAGAAGTTGGATGTTAGTCATTGTGACCATATATTCACACATGAGGAACATAACTCGGTCATAATTCCCAACAATATGGTTTACTCAGTCCAGACGATGCAGGTACACTATACTACTTATGATATGAGGCGTGAATACGACACCATCAGCCCCAGAACACATGCTGATGTTATGGTGCTTTCAGGAGAAACCTCACCTTCCCACCCATACTGGTACGCTCGTGTACTGGGTATTTATCACATGGACACATGGCTCCAAGGTGATGGTCCAGTCCATAAACAACGCCTCGAGGTCCTCCACGTCAGGTGGTTCACGCCATTAATATTGTTGGGCTATCGGTCAGGCATACAGCGCGCTCGCCTTCCCAAAGTGGCGTTTGTGGAGGAGTCGGATCACGACACATTCGGATTTCTTGATCCCGGGCAAGTGATTCGAGGAGCCCATTTGATCCCCGCATTCGCTTCTGAGCGCGGTGTAACTTCACTTTGCTTTGGAAAATTGTTAGGATGTGCCAAGGGCGAACTAGACGACTGGGAAGCGTTTTATGTCGGTATGTAAGTGCAGCATGTCTTCTTGTGGCTTAATGATTCTGATATGTTTGAGCTAGTTTTGTTGATCGCAACATGTTCTTGCGTTATATGCACTTAGGTGTAGGCCACCCAGTAGCTTTGCGGAGGATGGTTAGAGACTGTTCTGGCCTCCAGTCAACAGCACCAGTGAACTTGGAAGGTATGGATGTTGACCAAGGCAAAACCAATGGCGAGGGCCACGAAGAAGATGACAATGATGAACAGATGGATGTCGACCAAGTTGGTGAGGAGGTTTCAGACAATGAACGTGATGGAATTGGGGAAGATGAACTTGACACGGAAGATGACGATGATCTTGACGATGAGTTTGACGTGGAAATGATTGAGGAAGTGTCTGATGACCTCTCTTTTTGAGATTATATTATCCCCTGACTCTCATTTATTCTGTCCTTACTTCTTACCTATCTCTCCTTGCTAGAATCCGATATGTCCTATCTTACCGTTAAACAGTAGACGTCACAGTCACTCTCGACTGATCCTCTCACAGCCTGAGCTTTCTAGCTGACAAATTCTGTTGAGGCCAATGACGCGACTGGCAGAACCGTGACGGTGAATACTGCTCATATCTTCCTGTCTTACCTTTCTCATGCATCTCTTCAGCCTCGTGAAATTGCATCACTTCTGATCCTACTCGCATAGTACCGGAGGTATGGCATAACCTGCCACTTATTTCACAAATGATCCTGATTTTGACCTAGTCACCATTTCCAGCTACGGTGGCATCTCACAAACACTGGTGGGCATGTGGGAGATGTTCCTTGGGCATGATTCTGACAGCCAACCATGATGCTAGCATGGTTCGTTGGGCGAGCCTTCTCAATTGACTTGGCAGCTGCCCGAACATGTTACCCCTCAAGATATTTGACAATGTTATCGGCAAGATTGTGGAGGTATGGGTTCCTCCTCTCATTCCAGACCAAATTAATCCCGTTCCGCAGGTACATCAATGGCACTCGGCATGTTGTCCTGTGCAGCAATGTATGTTTGGTTTCGCTGCCATTCCAGTCTCCTGCTCAGAGGTTACCTTTGTAGATTGTGCTTGCTCAAGCGGATCGTGACGAAGCAGTACTTGACCTTCTCCAGAAACTGGGTCAAGTTTACAGCTTCATGATTCAAGATGAGATCCTCAGTCAGATTCCGTCGATGAGCCCTATTCTAGGACAGATCTTTCAGCAAACCCTTGAATGTGCCCATTTTATCAGGGATTATTCGGACAAGAAGAACTTCTGTGAGTCATCAACGAGTTATTCATTTTGCTCATTCTGATTCCTGCATCATCATAGGGGGAAAGACTCACAAAAAACGTCCTTTCGGAAACAAATGACACAATTCAACGGTACAACAACGTGTTGGATAGGCTCATGCAAAACTTCTGGGACCAAACCCTTCGGGATGTAGCCATCTTCGTTCACCGTACGGGTAAGGATTCATGCGCGCTTCTGACTTGACACTTATTCATACATTTACAGGTGAAATTTGTTCTCACCAGATGGGACTCGCATCATCTTGGGTTCCAATGACACCACAGACGCATGAACGATCTTGACGGGCTTGCACATGAAGCCAAGGCTCTCGAGGAACGTAAAAGATTAATTGCTCAAGAAAACATTCAGCTTGGAATGTACGTCTACTCCCGCTTTTCAATTCCATCATCACTCATGTGCAGTGTATGTAGTCATTGTTGTCGCAGCAACCATGCCGATGGCCAGATGCATCGTTGCCCAATGGAATCCACTCCAGGATCCTTCAGGCTTGGTCACCCTAGTGGGCGTGTGACTATCCTCAGGGAACGGCCCAGAAATGCTTGGTGGAAAGAACCCTTTTCTAATTAGCAAATGGCAGTTCCCAGGACTACCCAAAAAGAGACTTTAGAATGTGAGCTAATTGCTGCTAGGCTGCTTTCAGACGAGTGATTGACGTAGACTAGGCTAGGTTACTTTCAGATGAGTCAATGACGTAGACCACAGGCATATAAGACATGTTCGTAGGCTCTTTCACCCTCACATTCACTTTTCCACACCCTCTCTGCACCTCTCCTCCCAAAATCTTTGCTCATTTGTCAAGCTTATCTGGTATGTCGGAATCTGTGCACGCCCCGGGCAGTCCCCAGCCTCCGAATGTCTCCCTGCATGTCCTGACTTCCCCTCGTGCCAGGGCAAAACAACAGATCGCCTCCCTCATGTCGGAGGTTGAAATGTTGAAGCAGGACAAGGCGACAAAGAAAAGGTGTGCATGTGTTTGATGTTAGCCAGAACTAATGATTCATTGTAGGAAGACAATTTATTTGTGTTGCAGGGACAGGCAATCCGTCGTATGGTTGACCTTTACACTCCCATAGAGGATCTTATCGCTGAAAATGACCGATGTTGTGAAGAAAGTGGCAGCGACGCCACTCCGGAGTAAGTAGTGTCTGTGGTCATACAAGTTGCTATGCTTGTTTGACAAGGTGAACAGACAGACCGCCTTCAACATGGCTACATCGAACTCGCCAAGGCACTGCCTGGGTTCATGACAAGCTGGCATGTTCGACCACGAAGATACAGAGGACATGCTAAGACAGGTTCTTCAAAACATTTTGTCAACATCTCGCTCATTTCACTAATTTTGCTTCAATGTAGCTCAAGCAAGGTGCGGACTCAGCTCGTGGCGACGACACGGGAA